AAAGGGGCTTGCCCAAGCTACTCTGGTTACTACCATCTCCTCTAGCAATATGGTTTCCTTCATGCTTGTTCATCTTAATATGACTTTATACCTCTTTCCTCCTCCCTGCAAATGAAAATTTAGTTTCTCCTTACCTCAACTATCCAAATGTATTCTCTTACTCCCAGAAATTGTGATTGTCAGACAAACCAGAACCTGCAAAATTTAGTCCGTGGGTAAAGAGGATATGTGAACAGAGCTATGTAATCCATGATCTTTGCATTTATAGGGAAATGCACACGGACTGAAAATATCATAGCCCCGGGGACCATTTCCGGCCAACAACTCTTCTCTATAGCCCTCAGATCCATTTGTTACTTAGCGAGATGCCAAGTGGTTCTGGTTTTTATAGATGAGGTGATGTGTGCAAGAAGCTTTTTACACTCCCTTTTCCCTGATGGCCACACGGCAACTGCTTTCTCGTGCCCCACGCCGCTCCCTGTGTCATCCTGCCTTTGGCTCTGTCTCTTTGATTCTACAAATACATTAAATGAAACTTTTTAATCCTGCCCAGGGTGTATGGAGCATCTATCCTTTCCCACAGTCATGCTATAAAGGAAAGTGAGTTTTAAAAGTCACTATCTGTGTTTTGCCTGAGAAAACAGTCTCCACTTTAAGAGATTGGGAATTGAGAGGGAAGGTTGCAAACAGGCAGATTATATCATCACACACTTAAGTCCACCATTTGGTCAGTAATTAGTGGGAAGCCAAGAGAGAGAGAGAGAGAGAGAGAGAGAGAGAGAGATGGCTTTCTGTAAAAGCTTGCTGGATTGGACACAGTCCATGGGGAGGTATTTAATCTTTCCTGAAACCCTTCTGGAAATACAGCAGAAGCAGGGAGTGGGTTTCGGGAGACTCAGTAAGTAGATTAGCAGGGTGGTAACCCCTCTCAGACTGTGCAGACAACCACTGAAGCCTCTGATGCTGAGTGCGCTCCACATAAGGGGCTTAGCCAATTGTTGGTAATTTTTCTTAGGATTTTAATATAGACCTTGTCAATCTCTCTGAAAATGCATTAAGAACTTCAGTGCTGGACACTTTGAGGTTGTTTGAGAGAAGTCAAAGTATAAAGGTCATACTCCTGTGTTAGGTCTAAAATCAGACTTGCTCCTGGTAGATAGTCCCTGTGTCCGATTATTGATTTCTGAGCCATCCTAACTTCTCCTTGGATCCAGAGTCAGTCCTGTGACTGTGTCTTCCTCTACTAACGGAGAGTGGGAAGGGAAAGACACTCTGGACTATGATGCAGGAAAGCTTTTTCCAGTCTTGATCCCTAAAATAAAAAAGATGGATTCTAAAAGGACATCCCAATTCTACAATTCTATTGAAAATTAGCTTGTTTAACATTTCCTTCTCCCTTCAGACATTCCATACATCTTTTTATGAGGTACCTTAGAAATATATTTTATCTTTCCAGTATTGGTACTTTGCATAGAAATGTTTATCGCCCAGAGTCCAGTGATCTTTGACTCAGGATATGTTATTTATAATGATCAAAGCAAAATTTCAGCTACCCAACCAGGCCTGGGTAGACAGCAGTTCCTAAACTGACAAATAACATATCATCTAACCAGTGCCTTAAATATTCTGGATCTCTATATTCTCACTGGATGGCACAATGAAAGCAAAGCCCAATGAACAGAAAAAGGAAATAATTGGCAAGCGATTTATCTAGATCATGCACATTCAGGATAATACATGCTGTTGTTTACAGAAACTTCTTGGGTGTTTGAAGACAAATCGACAGCCAATTTTTCTCCCCCAAAGCATTTTCCCCTCTGAGCCTCTGTGACAGCACACAGCAGCTGTTCCACATGCAGTTTAGAGCCTTCGTTAGCCTTGGCTTATTATAATTGTCAAGGGTGGGGGTGGGGACTGCAATGCCAGGAAAGGATTCCAGGGTTCAGTTTGCTCTGTAGGACTCAAACCTAGTTTGAAAGCCTGTTGAAGCAGCAAGTCTACAGCAATCCCCCAAACAGGATACAACAAATCTTTTATCCACCTGCCAAATCCCATTTAGATATGTGCACAGTTGCTCAAATGGGATATGTTTTAAAGCCAGTTCCAACAATAGTAATTGTTTCCTAATCTCTGAATTTAAATGTTTAATGGTTAATTGCTTCCGTAGCCAATCTCACGGTCTTCCTTTCCAAATATTTTTGCATTGTTTTAAATGCTCACAATGTTTGAAAGTCTATAGCATCAAACTTTAAATTTAAAATTTCTTGGGGCGCCTGGGTGGCTCAGTGGGTTAAGCGTCCAACCAGCTCAGGTCATGATCTTGTGGTCTGTGGGTTCGAGCCCCGCATCGGGCTCTGTGCTGACAGCTCAGAGCCTGGAGCCTGTTTCAGATTCTGTGTCTCCCTCTCTCTCTGCCCCTACCCAGATCGTGCTCTGTCTCAAAAATAAATAAACATTAAAAAAAAATTCTTGGAAAGTATAGTTTAGGAAAAAATAAAGGAGGCAATATTATTAGCAAGTCGTATATCATTTGTGGTGATTGTAATAGAATAGTCTAAATTTACTACTTATATCTGAGGAGTTCAAAGGATTTCAGAGGGAGCTTCTACAAGGACTGTACAAAGATAACTGGATGCCTTTTTAAATACTTCTCGTTAAGCTTACCACCAGTGGCTTGCTTCTAACCTAAATAATATATACTCAATGAGAATAAACAAAGAATATATTCATTTATCTATTTATTATTTTTGAAGGGTATTTCCATCCCTAGATGTATGTAAGAGTTGGCTTGCTGAAATATTTTTCAGTGGGTAAATGCAGGCACAAAGTGATCAATACATAAAAGGTCAAGCCATCTGTGATAATGCTGGAATGAAACTCTGCCCTGCACACATTTAAAAACTGGTTTCCATTAGATAGAATATTTTCCGAACTCACAAGTCAAACAGGTCGTGTTTGTCAAGCACTCATGTATACATGGTACATTACAAGTTATTACTGAGAAAATGAGATGATTCCTATTCATTTGAGCCATAAACTACAGGCACAGATAAACACACATGAGGGAAGGCATGTGAACTACCCAAAAGAGTCAAATAGTAAAGAAATTGCTCCTATTTACTATTTCTGGAATTCAAAGTTATATGAATACACATACATAATTATGCTACAGCCTACATGTTGGCACAGTTTATTACAAGGGGAAAATGTTAATTTTTCTCCTTGGATTTTTTTTTCACATTTGCCTTCTGCCCTCCCCAGTTCCTCTTTCATTATATACTCCATCCGTCACCCACATCTAAAGATATACTGTCCTGAAGAGTCATTGATTTTTATCAGACCAAGAGTCCACATGTCTGATTACTTTGGGAAAAGAATCCTTCTGGGATCCAGAATGTCTTTTTTCCTGTATTTCTTTTCCTATAAATTGAGCGGGATAATGTAGCTCATATTCAAAATAGTATTGATTAAGGCAGGTGCATGTGCACTTACTCACATACTCTGTTCCCCATATTTTATACTGATGAAACATATCCATTCTACTGCAGACTACAAGTAAGCATCACATATTCTCCAGCTGTTTTATACTATTTATTTGTACTAAAATGATGCATAGAAAAAGTTGCAAGAGTCCCGAAATGTTCAGTGAATAAGATTTATGCAAGATGCCTGGAGTCTTACAATCACATTTACATCTTGACATATATGTTTCAATCTTCATCTAAGAACTGGAAAGAAAAAAAAACCTAAAACCCCAAGGGACAGCAAAGTCAAAGATTATATATTGCACAAGCTTAAAAATCTTTAAATGCTAAGTTAAGAGAAATGAGAGAGGACCCTACATTGGGAGAAGATCAATGAAAACAAGAAGAATCTATTAAGTCTCTAGAAATTCACAGGTGGATTCTGAATTCTCAAAACTGTGACTAGGAAATCATACATTTAGGAGACTTAAGAAAAGCATCAAAGACTACCAGGTGAAAGAGCTAAGCAATGCAAGAAGATTGTGGAAAGTGGTTAATTCCTACTCCATTTCTCTCTCCTCTCAGCAGGGTCTCACACTATTGCAAGCATCCTTTTAGCTGGCTCAATTTTCTTGTATCCAAAGGTCAAAGAAGCCTTGCCAGATCTTCTTATCATTATCATCAATAAATATTTACTATTTAATATCCAGTATAGGCATAACTGCACTGGCTACTAATTTAGACCTTGGAAGTTGAGTGCAAAGTATCATGGAATTTAAAGAGGCCTTCTGTGATCCCATCCTGTCTTCTGCCTAATTTGTGTCTACAGAGATCTAGTTACACATGACATACACATACTTGTGACTTTTCCCCTTACAGATGAAGTACTTTCTATTCTCTATAATTAATGTGGAGGCCTGAACTACTCAAACAACTTAATTTGACTTTTTCCCATGCCTTCAGGTAGCACACACAAGGCTCGCTGTACATTATATATTCAAGCTGAAGATCAGCATGAATATGGAAGGACTAAAGAAAGAGCTCCAAATGAATTTCTTGAGGCTACCTATATTTTTCTACACATTCAACTTGGGAATACATGTTTTATTCATTTCCCTCACCATGAATTTTCAAGGCCTGAATAATTAACAAAAAGGATCAAGTGTGAAATTCCCTCCCTGACATTTCATAGATGAGCTTTCTAAGAATAGAATGTATCCTTGTTTCGAGTAACATAAATATCTTCTAAATTTACAAAATGTTCAACCTAGAATGCACTATATTAATTGAGACTATTTGAGTCGCTATCATCATAAATTCTATTCAAGCTAACGTTAAGTGGGATGTTGGATACACTGACTCAGATGACTTGTGAGACCAAGGATACAGCTACTTCAGCTGCACAAGAAGCTGATGTATAATGCCATCCTGATTATTCCACTATTTCCTTCTTTTCAGCAAAGCTCTTCCACGTAGTGAGAAAAAGGGGAACAAAACAAGATTCCCCCTCCCGGCCCACACTCACATCTTACCCACCTGATGACCGTAGCAGAGAGAAACAGCTGTCTTCCTGGGTGAACTCTAGGCTGATTTGGACCATGTGTTTACCTCTGAACAAACCTCTGTGACTGGGGTGGTTGGAGGAAGAAGAGTGTACTCGGTCACTGCCATTCCTGTGGTGACAGGGAGAGAACAAAGGGAAGAGGAGTCAGTTCTATTCAACCACAAGCCCATGAGTCCTCACACACGAGATTCTGTCTCTTATCAGAAGAAGCGATAGGGCTGCTGGATGTCCTAAAATGATTCTCACCTAGTTCAAAGGAACCAACACCAGCCAGCCAATGGTAGAGTCAAGTAATTGGACCTACAGCTCCAGACTTGTAACTCAGTATTCTTTAAAAAACGTCTATTCTGTCAACTGCCTTTCAGCAAGGCTCAGAAGCCCTTTTACATTTCTTTCATGATTGTGTGTCTATGTCAGTTTCACATGAGCTGGGTAGTAGCCTGGATTTCTGGGGTAGGTGTTGCCGCCACCTTGTACCCAGAGATAGGAATTTCGGCCGGTCATCTGACATCTCTATTTGTCTATGAAAAGAAAGTCATTTGCCCACCCTAGGTCTGGCGAGGCAGCAAAGTGTCCTTGAGCTGGTAAATTTTATGTTAAGAAAAACCTTTAATATGATCAATTATTAAACAAAATGAAGCAGATTTATTTGCTGCAGGACTTCTCTTCCAAGCTTTCTCGCTCTCCATGGGCTAGATAAAATATTTAGCATTTCCAAGTTGATCTGACAAACTCACTTTGATGGATTCTCTCTCATGACCCATCTTCCTTGGAAATGCTATTGCTCTGTAAGTACATGTGATATTTTTATTACCTTTCTTTGAATCCTTCTTTATTCTGTCTCTAAATTGTCCCTTATCTGAAATCATCTTAACCCAGAGAGTTGGCCTGGCTTTCTTATCCCACTTTTGGTTATAATTTCTGGGAGTTGGTATTCGGTGTGTAATCTTTTTACACCTTAGCATTCGACCACCATGGCACACTTCATTACACAGTGGTCTACAAAATCTTGTTCTCACTCTGACACAGTAAATCATGTATGGCCCTAATTTACTTGAATTGAGAACTGTATCAAGACCTATTTGGATTTTATTTTAAAAGAATGAAATATCTAAGTTTTTTACATATTCTCAATGAATAATAATTTTTTTTAATGTTCTTTTATTAAAGTTCTCTAACATTTAGAAGATTTATAGGTAGAAACTTTTAGGAATGTCAAAGCAGTTAACACTAGTAAATACAAGATATATCACTTTAACATAATATATAAAAAACCAAATAGTAATATTGGAAATTTACAATTGAGATATAGTCTATATTTTATTTTTATTTTTATTTATTTTTGAGAGAGATAAGGAGAGAAGTAGGGGAGGGAGGAGAGGAAGAGGGAGAGAGAGAATCCCCAGGAGGCTCCATGCCCAGTGTGGAGGCCTATGCAGGGCTCGATTTCATGACCGTGAGATCATGACCTGAGCTGAATCAAGAGTCAGTCACTTAACCTACTGAGCCACCCAGGGACCCCTGTATTCTCCATCTTAAAGGAGAATTTACTAAAAGATTCCTTTAGCTTTGGGATAAACATCTACTTCATAATCTAACCCACATTTACCTTTTGTATGGGATTGCGTACCTCACATATGATAATACAGAGATTAAATTTTGCTGAATTCTTTGCATTTGTTAAATGTATTTTAATTCCCCATTCTATAAAGCAAACTCTTTACTGACTATTGAGATAAAGAAAAGCTATTCAAAGGATGAGCCTTCACTCTTTGATATGGAGTTTTATTTCATGCTTAATGTGTTGTGTCGATACAGAAAATATTAATAGTGTTCCATGATTCGATGATTTTTGATATAAAAATATTTCCAAGTTACAATTCTAGGGATTCAGGAAGAGTGCTTAGTCATGGGAGAAGTACTCTAAGAAAGGTTTTATGAATACCAAGGGTATTGTCTTTTTAGAGTGTGGGTTACCTGTCATGGATCAGTCACTTAAGAAACGTTGAATGAGGGATGCCTGGGTGGCTCAGTCAGTTAAGCATCTGACTTTGGTTCAGGTCATGATCTCACAGTTTGTGATTTTGAGCCCTACATCAGGTTCTGTGCTGTCATCTCAGAGCCTGCTTAGAATTCTCTCTCTCTCTCTCTCTCTCTCTGCCCTTTCCCATTTGCACATACTCTCTCTAAAAAATGAATAAACATTTATGAAAAAAAAAGAAAGAGAAAAAAAGGAAGGTTGAGTGAAGTTATGAACTTTTTATATTCCCAGGTTTCAGTGAAATAATATGTCAGATTATTAGGCCATTCTATATCCTCTGTTTTCAATTAAGGAATGAAAAATTATTATTTTATGAGAATTTTGCTTCCACATTGATTCCAAAGCACTTAATCCAGTATAATATAGTCCTATTTTCTATATTCTCATCTTCCTATTGCCTTCTAGTTGTATTGTATTATTGACATGGCTGGTTTTCAAATTCTGTTCATAAAAACTTGGTATGCATTGAAAAGTTCTTGTTGACTGCTTTCATCATCGCCCTTTCATAGGAATTACTAGCAACTGCTAATATTAACCATAGTTGGTACTAAATACATGTTACTTCAAATTCCTTATAACTCTAGAACTTACTAATATCCCACTCCCACAAATGCAAAAATGGAGGGACTGAGGGTTAGTAACTATTCCAAGCTCACATATCTAAAATGTTCTTGTGCTAAGATGTGAACCCAGATTTGAGACATCACAAACCAAGAGCATTTCCTGCATGTCATCTTGCTAATTCTTCTGGTGTCCGATAGACAGTAAGGCAAAATTTCAACTTTTTCACACACGGTGCTGTGTCATTGAAAACTTGGATCCACCCCTACGGCTTTGAGTAATGATTTCACATAGAGGAGATGCAAAGCAATTTATCATTTTGGTAGATTTAGCGTTTGCTAGTAGCAGATGGTTCTAGGAGGTAGGAATGTGAGTTTTAGGAGGCAATTCAAAATGAGCCTCAACTTGTCCAACTATATAGCCCTCTTACTTGGAAATTAATAGAGATTTAAAAAAATATTTTCTCCTTGAATTCTACAATCACAAAGGCCTCTAGTGTTCATGTATGTTGCTTAAACAATTTTTTGTTGAAACTCTGCTTACAATATAGTTATGATCAAATTATTTTATTCTAAAACAGGGCTTGTTTGCTTGATGCCAACAAATGTCCTTTGACATTATAAGACACTTTTGTAGACTAGACTTGCTTACAAAATGATAATAATTTACTTGATGGAGATTTTATTACATATCTGTACCCCTTCTAAGCACTTTCCATGTATTGGATCACACAGTCTTTACAGCCATCTTATGAGGTAGTTTCTCTTTTCATTTATGAGAAAACTGAGGAGCCGAGGGAGAATATATTGACTGACTAAATCTGGATACTAAAAGATTCTGAGAGACGTGAGTAGTGATCTGATTTTAACAAGATAAAATTTAACCTGGGAGAATACAAGTTTCTGTCTTGGGTCTGAAACAGCTATGCAAGTACAGAATGTGGAAAATACAGATCATAAAATACAAAAGATGTAAGCTTTTTTTTTTTCAAAAAGAAGATCTAGACAAGTAAATGGAATATTGAGATAACAACAACAACAACAAAAAAACCCCTGAACTGAGCCTGCATTGATGGAAACAAAAACTCTTGTAAGGAAAGGCATGAGGTCAGCTCTCTTCTGTTTCTTGATTATTCCAATCTTAGAGTGGTTCTGTTCTAATTCCATTTTCTTTTTCAAGCTGGAAACAAACTCAGTGTATTCAAAGAAAGCAACTATACAGGCAAGGGTTCTAAAACCAGGTTAAATGGAAAACAGTCAAAGGACTAGGTAGCAGTGTTTACCATGGAAGGAAAGGAAGGGAAACCTCAGAGATAACACAATAGCCATGCTCTGAGAGCTGAGGAACTGACATAAACAGGAGGAATTATATGCATTTAGTATACACCCAAGTAGGAAAATTGGCAACAGTGAGCAGAGGAAGCCACACACAAAGAGAGGTCAACTCTTAACCAGCAAGATTTTTCTCATAGCTGGAGCCTTACACATGCAAAGTGAAATGCCTTTGGAGAGAACAAATTCTGTTTTTGGATGCCCATTCAGCAAGGATGTTACAAAGCAGATTCAAGAAATAGACGAGATCTTTGAGGTGCCTTCTAGTCCTGTGCTTTCATTATTCTTGACTCTTCCCTTTTGGATAGGAGACCACAGGCACCTGGTGGGCCGCTTTGCTGTCTGGCCGGAACAAGCAGCAGCCTGCCCAGGGACTTTGGAGTTTCAGAGTTTTGGCAGAAGTAGCAAGACTTGGAGTACAAATCAGAAGGCTGAGTCCTCCTTTCTCACTCAGATGCCTGCCTTTTATTACAACTTCCCCATTGTGCTAAAATCATTTTCTGTTACATCTTGGCCATAAATACTGTTAAGTTTCTGATCACACTTTTTAAGGCACCGCTCTTAATTGGTTTGTCCAGAAGTTACATTCAAAATGACTTTGAAATTATTTTACCAAGACAGGTGCAGATGTAGCCTCTCCGTTTTCTCCAAATTCAAAGGCTAGTTCTCACATTAAGCTCCCTGCTCTAAAGGAAAATTAAGCTAGCTTGGGGGCACCTATTTATCCAAAACAGAAGGATCCCTGAGGTATGGACTCACAGATTTAACAGGATTTTGTTTCCTTACTATATGGCTAAGAGTTGTTAATGGATAAATCATTCTTTCTAATGCAGCATAAGATATGTTCTCTGTCACACTGAATAATCAGATGTAAGAAACATTGTATTGTTTCCGGGAAAGAAAACTTAATACCTTTATGTCTCAAGGCTTGAGAACACAAACAGAATCCAAGCCTGTAATTACAGCATTTTGTTTCAGAATCTGCATAGCCCTGCAAAGAACAAAGTCTCTGATCTGAAGGGTAGGAAGTTTTTGCCAGTGTGCTGTCAAAATTTTAAAGTATCTTTTCATGATACTATAGTCTAGCTCCTAAGGAAAAAAATTTTAATTGGTTTTCCAACAAGAGTAATGTTTTCCACTAGATTTCTCTCCAGTTGGCAGAGACATTCTTAGTAG